CTCTACATAAATTACACAGGTTATGTTACTGTTCTTTGACCACATTTCCTATATACAATAATTGTTTGTGTTTGTAAGCATGTTGATTCCCTTTTTTTCATTATGAGATTACACAAAATTAAATTATAAACTGTAACTTATATTTGTTCTTCATTGATTTTACTTGTATTATGCTTATTACTGAACACTGAAAGAAAACGAGTAACTATATAAAACAGTGATGCTGTAACTGAATTGCATATATTCATTGATGAACAACGAAAGAGTAATACTTATAAAAACACTGGGTGCTATAAAAACAAGTGAGTGCTGCAAACTATAAAATAGTGAGTGACAATTTGAACATTTGCAAATATTTATTGATGAACATTGATGAAGGCAAACCAGTAACTACAGGAAACAGTGTTTGCTATAACTTATGATCAAAATGTTTACTACTGAGGAACACTGAATCAAAATCAGTTTAACTATAAGACAGTGGATAGTATATAACAGAAAGTGCAATCAGCTATACAACAGCAGGTGCTATAAATTAATGCACAGGCTCAACTATTCTCTGCCTCAACACACCTAGTCTAGTGGTGTGTTGAGGCAGAGAATAGTTGAACCTGTGCAGGGCAATGTGTCCCCAGAAGCAGAATAAAAGCACACTGATTTAAATCACAGTAACCACTGTGTGTGGTTACAGTACTTTACTGTGCAGCACAGTAGGTCCCCATGAGCAGGATTAAGAAAAATTGACTTAGACAATCAAAAATGTTCTGCATTGATCAACATAGACTAGAGGGTGGGACAAAACAGTGAGCATAATAAACTATAAATAGTTGCTTATCTAAACAGTAGCTTAAATAAATGCAATTATTGAACACAAAGAAATACAATAACCATCTAAAACAAAGGTTATATCTCACACAAGCAAAAGTGCTAAATATTGATGAATTCAGAATTATAATATAATATAATATAATATAATATAATATAATAACCATGAAACAGTGAAAGCAATCAGAGAATGAAAATGCTTAATACTGATACTGATGAATACCCAATCAAAAGTAATACAATATGGAATTAATTATTAATATAATAATTAATTCTATAAAATAAAGATATACTATACTATTATTATAACTATAAATCAGTAAGTGCTATAAAACAGTGCAATCAATTATAGAACAAATACTATAATAACATAGCATAATTACAATGTAATATTATCTTAAAATATCTAGACAAGCCAGATATTTAAAAGACAGATATGTTAAAATGTTATATATGTATTAAAAACAATGAGTGCAATTAACTATAGAATAAATAATAATAATAATATTAATAATAATAATAATAATAATATACCATAGACAATTAAAGCAAAAATATATAATAGCATAATCATAATATAATATCAGAATATATTATTATAGCTATAAAAGTGTGGGTGCTAAAATGAAGTGCAAGCAACATAAAACAGTAACTACTTCCGTCTCATCTGCTCCAGCCATTCCTCCTTCGAGAGCGCCTCTGTCGAGGGGCAATAGATTGTCCCCTTATACTGGCTGTGCCCTGTCCCAGCAGTCCTGTACTGGCCACATTTCCTGCAGGTGTTTGTGAGGACTTTCTTTTGGTAGGGTTTTCGGCGAGCAGATGTGGTAGAAGTGGTGGCAGGCGATGCTTTAGAAACACTGGCTTGGGTAAGGGGATACTGCTGACCAGGAAGCGGAATAAAAGTAATTGCATGGGTTTGTGGGGTACCAAAGAGGACAGGAGGCATGGAAGATGATGGCAAGATCTGAGCAGGCCCTGGGGTTGGAGGCTTTGGAAAAAGCTGCCTCTTTGGCGCCACCTTGGGTCTAACAGCTGCTGGGGCAGCCGCAACTGCATCAGTTGCCATCCTCTTAGTGCCTGTCCCGTTGTGTTGTCAGGTAGATGATATGTGTGTGGCTCACCAGGTACCTGTGGAGTGAGAGCAGGACGCACATTTGCTGCCAGGAGAGTCTCAGCAGCCACCGGGACCCGACTGGGAAGGTCAATGCCCTGCAACACAAGGGCATTGTCTTGCTTTTTCACCCTGCGGTTGTGCCACTGGTTCAGTGTTGTTTGGTTAACTTCCACCAGCTGTATTGATGTTTCCTGCATTATGGTGCCATTGCCCAAGATAAGCTGCCGTATTTTGCGGTAGTCCTGAAGAATCAGTGACCATCTGAGAGTGGTCCGCCCTTGTTTTTTTGGACTCTTGTGGAGACCACAAAGCCTTACAAAAATGGCCTCAACAAGACGGCAGCAATCCGGCCACTGTGCCAGCGGAGCAGTGGTGGTAAGGGCGCTTCTCTTCAAGCTGTCCACCCCAGAAGTAAATTCAGCCCTCTTTTTAGGTGACCGGAATCTCCCAGTTGTCAGCTTATCTTGGTGCCTGGCAGCAAACACCACCCGCTGCATGTCGTAATCAAGCATGTTCTGCCACAGGGCCACAATGGTGCTTGCCTAAAAATGAAGAAAGAAAAAGTATGAAAGTTTATGCAGTCAGAGATACCACAAATCTTTATGGGAATTATAAATGTGAGAATGAAATAATGCTGCATTTCTATTTTGCACATAATAAATGCTAGTAACCTGCTGTCTGCTGAGGGTCAGAGATGTTTGTGTCCTGAGCTCCACCAGATACTCTGCCAAGCTGTCTACCCGATCCATATTATATTTATGATTAATATTTTAACACATTATTCATTATATTTATTGTGGTGTCTGTAGTGTATTTATATGTATATAACACATTTCTTTGTAGGTCAACTAAACTTAACTTTTTGTATTGACAGTGTGACTGTACTGATAATGGTACTTACCAAATGCTCTTCAGGGACCTGCTGTGGGTCACCTGAGACACTAGCGGGGCGTACAAAAGGAAAGGTGATGGTGGCCTCAGGCTGGACAGAGGGCATTCCAGGCAGAGGGAAAGAATACACAATTAGTCATGAATGCAGTCACTCGAAACTGTGTAAGTATTATGTTTTTTGCTATACATTATATTTATAATTAATGTTTTAACACATTATTCATTATATTTATTGTGGTGTCTGTAGTGTATTTATATGTATATAACACATTTCTTTGTAGGTCAACTAAACTTAACTTTTTGTATTGACAGTGTGACTGTACTGATAATGGTACTTACCATGGTACTTATGCTCTTCAGGGACCTGCTGTGGGTCACCTGAGACACTAACAGGAAGGGTGATGGTGGCCTCAGGCTGGACAGAGGGCATTCCAGGCTGGGCAGAGGGCAGCAGTGCAGGCTGGACTCAGGGCGGCAGTGCAGGCTGGACAGAAGGCATTCCAGGCTGGACAGAGGACGGAGGTTCAGGCTGGGCAGAGATCTGCAGTGCAGGCTGGACAGAGGGCATTCCAGGCACATCAGGTTGGATGCAGGGCAATGTAGGCTCTGCAGTAAGTTTTGCATGCTGGACACATGGCATTCCTGGCTTAGCAGAGGTTGACGAGTCAAGACTTGGGAACGTCAGATCCAATGAATGGTCCTCCTCAAACCCTTCATCTTCTTGTTCGTCTTCCCCTGCCAGGTCCTCCAGTAAGCCCTCAGTCTCCTCTGAGTCCGGAGTGACGTCTTGCAGGGGCAGTCCTGTCTGTCTTAGCAGTTGTCCACACCAATCAGCTCTCCTAGAAATTCAAGACAATGTTATTTAAAAATATATGCAAATATGTACTTGTCTGAAGAAGGCAATTAATGTAATAATAATAATATTAACAATGTTTTGTACCAGTGTACTTTGCAGGGGGTTGAAAAGATGAGACGTATTTCCTGCCAAAAACCTTCAGGCTGTTGGTGTTCACACAGTGAAGGACATCCCCCGCATAGGTCATCAGAGAGGCTGGCTGGCTAGCCACGGATGCAGCTGCTCTGTCCTGATTCCACCTGCTGAGACCTTCCAGGAGGTACAGCTGAAAATTTAAGCTGTTTGCAGTGGTTCCTAGAAAAAACATTTATAACCAAACATTTTAGGTAACTTAGTAAAAAAAAATATTTATTTTGAGATGGCCAAGATGACTGGAACTAACCTGGAATAAATCTCTGCCGGTGGCAGTGAAATGACTCCAGTGATGTGGACCCCCTGGCACATCTGTACCTATGCCAGCCAACTTCTTTGTGATCTGAAATGACACAAAAGTAAGTACATTACAGTTATGACATTTGCATATACAAACACACACATTTATCTGGTATGCCTACATTATATTGTTAATAACCTTTTTAGTTGAGTCCATCTTTAAAATGGACCCAAAGGTGGATGTGATGGTGGCCTTGATGTGATCCATCCGGCTGATGATGTCTCTGCCATACACAGACAGGAGCCAGCGACTGGTGGGCACATCTATTGGTTCAGGGGGTTCCTGGCAGGCCACTGGGAAAAGGCTGGGGCGGTTCACAAAGCTTGCACACTCCTCCAAGTAGTGGGTCAGCCGGTTCAACCATTCCTCACCGTGGTTCTCCTTTAACTGCTTCACCAGTCGGGTAGGGCTGTTACCCAGAGTCCGGTCCCGAAGCAGACGAATAACGCGGATGTCACATGCATACCTTGATTAGAAAATATGTACAATTAGTTAATATAGATTTTTAGACCTTTTTAGTACTTTTGTTTGGTAAAATACTTCAATACAACAAAAGCTTTAACCACATTACTTATGACTACTTATAATTACTTAATATTTTCAGCAGACACTGATTCAAAACTTTACTGAACTATTATTTAAACTTGTAAAATTACTGAGTAAACTCACTTCTGTGTCAGGATGAGACGGAACATCTTTTGATGGGGTAAGTCTAGCTGGTCCGGGCTGTCTGACTGGTAGACAAAAACGTCGGGCGACACACAGTACACCTGAGGATCTCTGTCACCAGCAGATAGAAGGTATCAATGTCCAGGACTTTGCGCACTCTCTTATGTACACCATAGCCAGTCAGCTGCTTGCCACAGGTTGGACAGAACACCCTAACTTTCCACTGGTGGTAGGGCATCCACACCATGAGCTGGTGGGTGAAAAAGCGTTCTGGTGTTGGAGCCTACCAAGATGTGCAATGGCACGGGAGGCTCATACCACAGCTTTAAGTCGGGGAGCAGCTTTCCGGCATGGTAGAGGGCAGAGACAATCCATCGTTGATCCTGCACTGGAATCGAGTTCTTCATCTCAACAGGAAGCCAAAATGAAGCAGAAGCAGGACCAGCCAGATCCTCACCCTAAGTACATGACATTAAATAAAATTTTTTAAATTCTTGTTTCTACTTAATTCTTTCTACTTCCTTCCATTCAATCCTTTATTAAGACTTTTTTAAAAAAAGGACTGAATGGAATTATTGTTTTCAGCATATGAACAGAAACTAGTGTATTGTTAAAATAAGAACTTACAACAGAGCTGGCAACAACTGTAGACATGGTGGTGGGTGTCTGTGCAGGACTAATACAGCCTGCAGTAGTGGTCCTTAAAGCAGCCTCAGAAGGACTAGGGCTACCTGAGGTGGTGGTCCTAACAGATACCTCACCAGGACTAGGGGTGCGAGGGGTGCCAGGAGTGATGGTGTAGGTCTCATCAGGACTGGAAGGGATGACAGTGTAGATGGATGTACTGCCAGTGCTGGCGCTGCTTGAGGTGACGGCAGGGCAGGGTAGTGGCTAGAAACAAAGAGACATTATAAGGAAATTAAAGAAGTTATAGTTCAAAAGATTTATTCAAGATGATTCATTTGTCGTATCATGCGTACCTGGCATGGCTTTTGAGAGACCAAATTAGGTTTGGCCACAGCACTGTGTGTCCCACCAAAACGTTGCCTATCAAACTAAAAGAAGAGGAGCAAATCAAGTAAGTGGTTTAAAAACATCTACGGCAAAGAACATAATTGTGTCTGCCTATAATAAAGCAACAATGGTCAGACAGCATTCATACATATCAATGCATATTCACCATAGACAAAGTTAGTGCAGGTTGGCGAGGGCTCTGCACTGGGGAAGAGGGGGAGGCTGTGGTTGTGACTGAAGTCACAGGGCCTGAAAAAAGAAGAACACAAACAGATTATTCATACACATATATAGACATCACATCCATTTTTTGAGATTTTCCTCAGCGTCTGTTCTTGATATTTTAAAATTTACCCTGATAATATGAAATCCACAGTTGCAACTCCGATACCCGCGAAACAAAGTGGTTTGTCCACGGGACTGCAGTGGACACTTCTCTATCTACAACGATTCACAATACATAATTTATTTCAAGATTTAAAGCTGAAATGTTGTCATCTTCTAGCTACTACATGAAAACCATTATGTATTTGCACTGGGGTACTGTACCTTCGGATAGAAGTCATACCACTTCTTTTGTCTGGATGCGGGCCGGTTGCCTGCGTCAGAGGGCCAGATCCCAGAAGCAGCAAACCTCTTTAGGCGTGACATCCACTCGTCATCCCCCATAGCTTTGTGACTTTTAGAAGTCATCTTTCACTAACAGTAACAGACTTACATAAAATATAGATATGTATAGAGATATGTATGTATATATAATATATATATATATATATATATATATATATACACATATATATATATATATATATATATACATACACACACACACACATATATATATATATATATATATATATATATATATATACACTTGACTTGTCTAGATATTTTAGGATAACATTATTATAAAATTGTTACATAATTGATTGCACTGTTTTATAGCACTTAACTGATTTATACTGATATATATATATATATATATATATATATATATATATATATATATATATATATATATATATATATAAATATATACACACAAAAATATTTCCACAGTCTCTCCCACTCCTTACTTTCCCTCTCCCTCCCCTTTGTTTTGTTTATTCACTCAGGGTCGTATTTCCTCAAAGTAACGTTAAGTAGACATGACACACAGGCCTATTATAATCAGATTTACAGATTTTTTGACAGTCCTAAATAGCCATATATATATATATATATATGTATATATATATATATATATATACATATATATATATATATATATATATATATATATATATATATGCAAAAATATCCCAACGTAACGTACATAAAAAGATAACCAAACTCTGTAATGACTATGTTTACATAACATTAACGTTACGTGGCTGCCTTCTTTCTAATGACAATTTCAGCACGTTAAACCGCATTTCCGAACTAAAGTATGACTTTACAAAGCAGACAATGCGCATTTGATCAATACAGTAATTCATGGTAAGCATTTAATAATACATCTCACAATAAACGTTGAAACAAAGGACGACATTCACCTAATCGTAGCCCCTTCAACTCCAAGGAACCGTGGGCGGTTCAAACCATCCGACCTGGCCATTCGCATCGACATAACTTGCGTATCAGTTCCATTTCCAGAGTAATTACTGAACGATACGCTTCAACATAAATAACGAAATAGTAAGCATGGATTTCACAGGGTTTAATGGCCATTCATTCAATGCTCTTTATCTAAAGTTAGCGATAACAATCTTTGCTCACTGCCATGTAAGTTAGCTAACGATGTCACACAAACAACATGAGAAACTACACAGCGTTAGCGGTATACTAATAGAAAACATAAAAATTCATTTTATTTAACCAATCCAGAAATGTTAACCTTTATTAATTGGCCTGCAACCACATAGCAAGGTAAATAACACTTTAGCTAGCTAGGTAGGCACACAGTTTACATACCGTCACGAAGTAAAATGTAAAAAAAAAGCAAAATGACAAGCTTCTGTGTAGCTCAGCAAAAGTTGCGGACTCTGACTGACGGCTGAGCAGATAAAGCCCTCAGAAATGTACATGACTTAGCTACTGCGGTGACAGTGACAGACTCCTGTATCCTCTAAAGAGTGATTTGAGTTTTTGAGGTGTGAGAGCAGTCTCTCTTCTTCTTCTTCTTCTTCTTCTTCTTCTTCTTCTTCTTCTTTCTCGATAGGTGACGGACTTCGGCAATGAAAATTACAGTATTTACAGTATTTATATACTCAATAAAGATTTGGAGGGAAGCCATTTCATTGGATTAAATTTATATCGTACGAGCGGGAGAGGTTTTAATTCGCTATTACCTCAGTATCGTACGAGCGGGAGACGTTTTAATTAGATTAAAAACTAAACTTTAATTCGCTAACTTTATTTCGAATGTACTTCAGAATTAAAAACATTAAATAACGTAAACAAATAAGTTCGTTAACTTGGGCGACTACAACTGTACAATCACGAAGTCGTGGATTTAGGTGCTTCTACACACTGAAAGGGCGTTTCCAGCACTTGACAAGCGCTCAGAAGCTTTAGAAAGGCTGGAAAAGATGTGCAGTACTGTCTTAACGTGGATTTAGTGTAATGACTATAAACAAATATTTCTGCCATATATTGTCCTTTATATGTTTGGGAACAGACAGAAAATAGCATTTTCTTAATAAAAATATGCCTACTTTAACTTGGGTGACTACACCCGTACAATAATTAATTCGCGGATTTAGGGGCTTCTACAGACTGAAAAGGCGTTTCCAGCACTCCACAAGCGCTCAAACGCTTTAGAAAGGCTGAAAATGCTATTCAGTGTTGTCTTAACATGAACTCATTATAATGATTATAAACAGACATGTCTGCCATGAAATGCCATTTAAATTCCTGGGAACAGACAGATAGTAAGATTTTTCGAAAATATAATATGACTAACTTGGGTGACTACACCTGTACAATAATGATGTCGTGGATTTAGACGCTTCTTCACCCTGAAACGGCGTTTCCAGCACTTCACAAGCGCTCAGAAGCTTTAGAAAGGCTGGAAACGCTATGCGGTACTTTCTTACCGTGGACTCGGAATGATTATAAACAAATAGTTCAGCCATGAACTATCCTTGATAGGTGTGGGAACAGACTGTAAATCACATTTTCTACAAACAAAATATGTCTACTTTAACTTGGGTGACTACACCTGTACAATCATGAAGTCGTGGATTTACGCGCTTCTTAACACTCCAAAGGCAGGACTCCACAAGCGCTCAGACGCTTTAGAAAGGCTTAAAATGCTATTCGGTACTGTTTTACCGTGGACTCCTTGTGTTGTCTATAAACAGATATTTTTGCCATAAATTGCCCTTTCTATGTGTGGGAACAGACTGTAAATCATATTTTCTACAGAAAAAATATGACTACACCTGTACAATCACGAAGTCGTGGATTTAGGCGCTTCTTCACACTGAAAAGGCGTTTGCAGCACTCCACAAGCGCTCAGAAGCTTTAGAAAGGCTGGAAAGCCATGCAGTACTGTCTTAACGTGGACTCTTTGATATGACTAGAAACAGATATTTCTGCCAAAAATTGCCCTTTTATATGTGTGGGATCAGACAGGAAATCACATTTTCTGCAGAAAAAAATATGACTAATTTAACTTGGATCACTACAAATGTACAATCATGAAGTCGTGGATTTAGGCGCTTCTTCACACTGAAAAGGCTTTTCCAGCACTCCACAAGCGCTCAAACGCTTTAGAAAGGCTGGAAAGCTATGCAGTGTTGTCTTGACATGAACTCATTATACTGATTATAAACAGACATATCTGCCATGAAATGCCATTTAAATTTCTGGGAACATACAGAAAGTAACATTTTTCGAAAATATAATATGACTACTTCAACTTGGGTCACTACACCTGTACAATCATGAAGTTGTGAATGTAGGCGCTTCATCACACTGAAAAGGCGTTTCCAGCACTTCACAAGCGCACAAAAGCTTTAGAAAGGCTGGAAACGCTATTCGGCACTGTCTTAACGTGGACTCATTGTAATGATTATAAACAGATATTTCTGCCACGAACGATCCTTTATATGTGTGGGAACAGACAGGAAATCACTTTGCTTGAGATAAAATATGACTACTCTAACTTGGGGGACTACACCTGTACAATCATGATGTCGTGGATTTCGGCGCTTCTTCACACTGAAAAGGCGTTTGCAGCACTCCACAAGCGATCAGAAGCTTTAGAAAGGCTGGAAAGTTATGCAGTACTCTCTTAACGTGGACTCATTGTAATGATTATATACAGATATTTCTGCCATAATTTGTCATTTATATATGTAGGAACAGACTGTAAATCACATTTTCTAAAGACCAAATATGACGAACTTAACTTGGGGGACTTCACCTGTATCATCATGAAGTCGTGGATTCCGGCGCTTCTTCGCACTCAAAAGGCGTTTCCAGCACTCCACAAGCGCTCAGAAGCTTTAGAAAGGCTGGAAACGCTATGCAATATTTTCTTCACGTGAGCTCATTATAATGTTTACAAACGGACATTACTCCCATAACATATTCTTTATATCTTTGTGACCAGTCAGTAAATCACATTTTCTTTAGAAAAAATATGACTACTTAAACTTAGGTGACCACACCTGTACAATTATCAAGTCGTAGTTTTCGGCGTTTGATTATACTGAAAAGGCTCTTTCTGCACTCCACAGTCGCTCAGACGCTTAGCAAAAGCCAGGAGCGCTTTTCAGTATTCTCTTAACGTGAGGACACCATAATGAATATAAACAGACATTTCTGCCATAAAATACCCTTTATATGTAATGTAACAAACAGTAAATCACACATTTTTCAGAAAAAAATATGACTCACTTGGTTGACTACGCCTGTACAATAATGAAGTGATGGTTTTAGGCTGTTATTCACACTGGAAAGGCGCACTCCAGAAATGCTTAAACGCTTTAGAAAGGCTCGCAACGCTGTGCGTTAGTCTATCAACCTCAACTCATTACAATGATCAGAAACAGACATTTCTTCAATAAAATACACTTCATGCGCAACGGAACAATGCGTAAGTCATATTTTCATGAGACATAAAACTAAAGTATTACTTTGAGTAACCAAGTCTTTACAATCATGAAATCGTTGTTTAAGACGTTTGTTTACACAGAAAAGGCGTGTAATACACTGCACAAGCGTCCAAACGCTTTAGAAAAGCCAGAAGAGCAATGCAGTATTCTCTTAACATGAAGACATTATGATGATCAGCAAGAGAAACTTCTGCAATAACATACCCTTTGTCTCCAAAGCAACTGACCTATAATCAAATTTTAATGAGAAAGAACACTAAAGTACACCAAACCTGTACAATACGGACATATTCCTTATGCAAGCTTGTCTGAAGCGTGCTTTTCCGTGTTAACGCACGCCTAAACCTACTATTTCATGATTGTACAAATTTGTTCACCCAAGTTAATGCTTTAGTGCAGAATTGTCTGTTTCGAATCACTGTAATGAGTTCACGTTAAGATTATACTGCATAGCGTGTCTAGCCTTTCTAAAGCGTTTGAGCGCTTGTGGAGTTGCTGGAAACGCCTTTTGAGTGTGAAGAAGCGCCTGAAACCACGACTTCATGATTGTACCGTTGTGGTTAA